CACACAAGTGTGCTACAAAACAAAAAGAACTAAGCGAACACTGATTCCTTGAGAATCCTCGCTGCGGAAGATTGCAGCGTACTACACAGGAGGCAGAGTGCACCTACAGCGAACTATGCACAGAAAACGAACTGCACCACCTACTTGTCACTAGGTGCACACGTGCACTACACTACAAACAGGGGCCAAATATGCCAAATGCTGTACCCATACACTGCCCGTAGCTCGAATGATAAAGGCCTAAATGGTGCTCAGCTGAGAATCCCACCATGAATTGAACACCATGTTTGTTTTCGTTTGGTTTCTCTTATCCTTTCTTCCAACTAAAATGCCTAATTTTGTATTTGGCAGCGCGCCAGGGGCGGGGTTCTTGCCCCCCATTGGACTAGAAGAGAAGCGCAAACCGGTGCAAACCACGCCGCAAGCTGCAAAGGACCCGGCCTCGGAGCCCTCCGTAACAACGCCGCGGCGCACATAAAGCGGACAGGCATACCCGACCTGTGCTTGTTGTTGGATAGCAAAAATGCAGTCTGTAGGAATCAAAGACATGAACAGCGTGTCGCGCAAATCGTCACTACCCATGGCCGGGGTCATCCGCACTTATCTGGTTGAAAAACTAGTTGTATCCTTCCAAGGCTTCCTGCCAGCCATGTCCGCAGCTCATCAAAAGCTCCGAGGAGGTTTCACAGTTGCAAAACCAAAGACATACTCTCTGATTACACTCTGATGGCGCTCTGGGCCCCTAGCAGTTCCCGAAGCCCGAGACACGCGGTGCGCTGCAGTGTGAGACAAGCATGCCAGGCCTGGGCCGCCCAAAGATTCCCCTTTTTGCAACAGGCTTGCACGTACGCGAGGACCCCTCCAAAGATTCCCTACCTGCCCTGCCCTACCCTAGGTTTGCATACGAATTAGATCTATGGGGATTGTTCATGATTCTTCCATATTGTGACTCAATGTTAGCGATGTCAATGCCAATAAAGAAACTTCAGGAGGGTCTGAGGTCGAATGTCTCCCTCCTGCCCGGACTGTCGACGTTTTCTGCTGCGCACAGATGAATGGAATTCATTCTTCTCTTGCCTTCTCCTTGGGAGGGACAAGCTTTTTGAGCGCCAGCAGCCTAGTTTCTAGTTCTTAGCTCGCAGAGAGCAGTTGCAGAAAAGTACGCGAACTAACACTATGCAAGCGGAACTGCTTCTCTGGGGCGAGGCTAGCAGATGGAGGTCATGGAAAGACAAACCTCAGCCACAGGACTTACATAAGCGGCCGTCCGTAGGGAGGGCAGGCAGTGACAAGACCTTCGGCTCACAGGGACGCGTCTCGTCCTTCCGTGGCACAGGCATAGGCTTGGGGAGCGCCTGCAAGATGATGGAGCGAGGTCGTTGAAATTCCTAGGTCACTCATGTGCTTCAACACTCAGCGATTCCCAGAGTCTCAGGAAGAGACAGAGAGTAGAACTTTTGAAAACAAGCCTGGGCTCAGGAATCCGGCGCAGGCACTCCTGGTAGCGTCGCTCGTACATGGCGAAGCGGCCTGCTTCCAGCGGGCCGCCGTCGTAGGCAAACTCCACCTCCTCGATCAGAGTTGCCACATCCCACAGGTGACGGTTCAGCGTAGATCCTAATGCGTCGCGCGGCAAAACACATGTTTCCAAGCAACGGGAACGCAGATCCAAAGCTAGCTTGAGACAACCCAGCCTGTGTAGAACGGCTTCCCGCCCAAAGCATCGCCCAGCAAAATGAAGGGTACCAGCTGGTCGCAGACGCTCAGCTGGCATACGGCATGATCAGCCGACCAATATGAAGCCTCCACGAACCTCTTTCAAGAAAAACATTCTTTCGGTGAGGGTCAGAACGATCAGATTTTGCCGAGCACTGGAGCTGAGGCACCAAGTATCACTAGAGAACACAAAGCCCCAAGTCTTCCTCCCCGCCGGCCTTAAACTGCAACTGCTTCTGCCAGTTGCTGTACATCAAATACCCAGGGGTGCTGTGAAAAAAATCTGCGACCGAACTCCTCGTACAATCACTCTCGCATTGCAACCAGTAAGTCTCTCAACCCCCCCCCCCGTATTCCTGAAGCTCCTTGAAATCCTGAAGCTCAAAAACCGTCCCAAAAACCTTAGGGCCTTAGGGATCGGAGCACGAAATCCCTATGAACCCCTGCCAACAGCCTAAGGCTCCATAATATGTCAACCACGGGATCCCTTGTGCACCTGCACGTTACGGCCATGGGCTTGATGCGGAGCTGCAAGGCATCCAGAGCCGGGCGAAGTGCCTGTGCAGTCGTGCCCACCAGGTCCTGGTTGTCAAAACTTCTGCAGTATACCTGTGTACTGGACTGTTTTGAGGATGTAAGGGCTTAGATAGCTTGCCTGGGCCCACCACTCTTGCAACTCTTTGCCACTTGCTCCACATGCGCTTGATGCTCCCTCCCCTTGCCCCAATTTTTGCTCCACTCGCCACACTGGCCAAAAGGCTTGGGTGACCTTCGTAGGTCTCGGGGGCGAGATGGGCAAGAGGACAGGTGTGGGGAGGCAAGAGGGTCGGCGGGCCAAGAGGGGCAGGGGTTGAATACAGCTAGTTCAGGGAGAGGGAGGGAGAGAGAAAGAGAGAGAAATCGAGCGGCGACTAGCCAAAACCGGCTTCTGATGAGACTGGTCCTCGAAGGCTTCTGCAAGCGAGTCGCGGGGTGCAATGGACGTACCTTTCAGAACAAAGGACTCCAGCACCTGGGCAAACGGCAACATCAGGGCTCTTGTTTTGCACCCGTCTAAAACAGTTCTTTCAAAGTGAAGGCACTAGTCACTAATGCAAAGTAAACGCACCGGAGAGGTCCGGGAGGCAAGACGTGACATGAAAGAGGAAAGGGAACATAGGCGCTGAGAAACAAGTCCATCCCTATCGGCCCTAACAGCTGACAAGACCAGTCCACCTCGTTGGAGAGCCCGAAGACCCAGAGCCAGCATGCGCAAGCGCCCTCAAAGCCGGGCCGCAGCATCACACGCAGGCCAGGGAAGCGGCCCGCTTGCTGGGCGGCCTCGCTTCAGCTTTGGCGCTTTGGCTTCGGGCTACGGCGGCCACGCGTTGAGGGAGCGGGTTTTGCCACCTGCCAACCGCTCTTTTTTTTAAGCCTGCCAGCTAAGGGTTGAAGGCTGAAATAGGTTGAGCTTTTTCTAGTACCGGAACGTCAACTTAGGGGCTGACATGGCCGCTAGCACGCTTCTCCTCCCAGCACGCTTTGTCCTCCATTCCTCCACCCACGAAATCCGAATCTAACCACTCCCTACTCTGAATGTGAGGTTCAGCGTGAGCTTTTAGAGTTTTTTTCACATATCAGACACAGGAGTGCTTCGTGTGAAGCTACTCTCCAAGACCTTCTTGTTGCAAATGGGCGGCCCCGGACAAGTCCAGGCTTCCCAGCTGCCAGGCGTCGGGCCCTTGCAGCTCCTGCACCTGGAAGACCACTACACGCTGGCTGTCACCGATCCTCACCTCGCAGCCAAGATCTCTTCGCAAAGCATCGTTCAGAGAGCGACGGCCGGCAGACCAGAGTATGCAGTCGAACTGCCCCGATTGAGCAAGCTCTGCTGGATCTGATATTTGGGTACCGTAACCAATCTTTGCCTCATGTCCCGCTACCTTCTTCCAGCGTCGGAGAAAAGTGTCCTCAATCTCGGCCACGGGCATGCCAGAAGTAAAGCTGCGAGACTTTGTCTGCTGGTCGAGCATGGAACGCGTCGATGAGGAGAGAGCGATTCGTATGTCAGTTCGTGTGCAGTGGTTCTCCATGGATCGTGCCTCAAAGACTGTAACTTCTGGCGCGTCAGGCCGGAGCCTCGCGCATCCCTTGCCATCTGTCCAGCGGTACTTCTGTGCCAACAGCATAGCTGCCCACAAGCCAACCGGCCCAGCACCGACTATTGCCACCCTCCGCCGCGTGATGCCGGCCCAAGTTAGGTCATCTACGTTGTCTTTGTCAACAACACCTCCACGAACCTGCGGCATCTTAGCCAAGAGCCGCTGTGCAATTCGCGCCTGGCACTCCTTGCGGAATGCTTCCAAGTCCACGTTGGCTGCCATGGCGGCCGCCTTGGCACGCCGAGCCTCCTCTGTGGCCTTCTCCAGCTCCGACTTCTCGGCCAAGCGCTCGCGCGTCCTTGCGATGAAGCTGCGCAGGTCGGCAGCGCCGGTACGCTCAATGCGGTCGCCGCGGTCGCCGCGGTCGGGCCGCCGGGAGGCCTCTGCTTCAGCGACCAGCGCGGCTGTTGCGGCAGCCTCGGCCTCCACTGCTTTGGTCTCCAGACGCTCCTTTGTCTTCACGAGGAAGGCCTCGAGGTCTGCACCGAATCCACGCCTTTTCTTGGCCTTGGCCGCTGCCTTGCGCTTTGCTTTGCGCGCAGCCTTCCGTTCCTGCCTCAGGCGCTTGCAGACGCGACGCGCGGCCAACACTGCTGCATCCAGCGTCTTCTTTTTTTTGGGCTTCTCGCTGGCCTGCGGCTCTTCTATAAGGATCTCCCCGTCCAGCTCAGCTTCATCGACCTCAGCCGGCCAAGACGTGTCAGTGGGTGCCTCAGACACTATCTCCAGAAAGTCTTCGGTTTCGGATTGATCTTGCAGCTCCTGGTCATCCGAATCTTCCAGGTCCAATGGCCTTTTTTCATGGGAGGACGAAGCTGGCTCTTTGCCCGCCTCGTCCATGGTTCAAGGCCTGCCATCTACTCTGAGGAGATTGCCTTTGGAAAAGGGCAGCGACAAGCACACAGTAGTCATCGCACGTGTCCACTTCATGAAGCGGATTCGCTGCTACAGGTTCGTGGCATTTCCACAAGCTTCTCTCTCCCAGCAGGGCATGTTCACCCCTGTCCATGTGCATCTCCACAGTCCGGACTGCGCGAGGATTATCGTCAGCTACCGAAACGCGGAGAAAAAAAAACACACACACACACACACGTAAAGCGCGTTCCTTCACGGTAAGTGTGGAGAGACACCGTAACTATGCTCCCAATGCTACCTCCCAATGTAGGGAGACTGGACTGAACTGCTCAACATTTCCCCCGGCACTGTCCGCATCCAACGTAGGTCGCACCCAGGAGGCTCTGTCTCTCTCCCTCTCTCTGCAGCACGGTCGTCTAAGGGCCTAACCAAAGTCTGCCATTTTGGCAGTCCCGTTCCGGTCCAGCAGGATGTTAGGACTCTTTATGTCGCGGTGAAACACCTGAGTCGATCAGCACAGCAACCAGAGTCAAATGTATAAGCCATCCTTGCAATGCGGACAAACGCAATTCAAGCACAGCAGAACGTGAACCGAAGCAAGTTGCGAATCGAACATGCACTGAGGTAAGCAAGCCACCTTGGGAGAGGAATAGTGTAGATGCGACAGGCCACAGGCCGCGTCCAATGCCACACCGACCTGATAGTAACCAAAGGAATCTATCGATGAACTGCAGGAACCACCAGCTAAAGCGATGAAAACTGTAAGCCACGAGCCCTTTCTCGCCAAGGGAAGGGCGCGTCCTCGTGACAGCTCCGCTGTAACCTCCAGATTGCATGGGCTGTGTCAGGTTTTCATCGCTCCAAGTATTTAGCCCTCTTGCCTTTCCCGTGCTGATCTCCACCAATTAAGAATGACTAGGACCAGGAGCATGGAAAGATACAAAAATCACTCCAGCCAAAAGAGTTGCCGTGGCAGAGTGACGTGAGCTTGGTCTTTTCCAACTCCAACCTCCGATGGACGTCGCCCCCGGACAGCAGCTCGTAGACCAACAGGCGCTTGGCCCCATGACGGGCAAAACCTTATCCCCAGGCCATGTGGCTTGGGAGACAAAGGTTGGTTGGTCTGCAACAGAAATACAACGGCTGACCTAATCAAAAAATGACCAGCAGTTCAAGCAGGAGGGAAACGGAGAGAGAAAGACACAAAGGAATAGCGGCAGCTCTTACAAGAATACATCACATTTTTTGCTGGGTGCCTGGCCCATCAAAATCACTAGATGAGGATGTCGGAACTTGCTGAGAACCTGAACACGAAACTATCCACCTTTTCTTCCATGGGCCGAACACCTCATGTCTTTGCTTGCAGCGCTATTATACCAGTCCATCCCATTCAACCATCGGTTACGTCGCCATGATGCGCGTTCGAAAACTCTGTTGCTCCACCGCTAGTATACCCTTTCCTGCACATGTTTGCCAAACAACTGTTACTCTGCATTCTGCCATGCTCTCACATGCTTCATTCGTGACGTGTGAAATTATCACTCTCTCTCTCACTGTCGCTGATTGCAATCTTCACCTACATGCAATAGTGCTTCTTTCTCAGGAACATTGATTCTTCTCAGGGTGGAAGAAGCTCGTCTCATTCAGCTACCACGCCCAGCCGGAAACATTGCAAGCCTTAACCTCCTCCTCGAAACCGGCTTCATTGGGAACGTCCAACACCTCCAAACATGCTGTGCTCAGGAGTCGTCTCCATTTGAACTCAGCATGCCCAACATAAAAAAGAAACGGCTCAGCTCCTGTTGTTTATCGTAACAGGTGCAGGATGCTGCAGGGAAGAGTGGCTCAAGGGCGGAGGGTTGGCAAGGCAAGGAAACGGCAAACCATGACAAGGCCTTGATCGCAACCTCTGTGCCATCCTGCATGCTGCGCATGCTGTGCACGAATTTGTCCAGCTTGAAGTGTCGGAGAAAAGTTCACAAGCATCCCATGAGCTTCATTCTCCAGGCAACGCAAGAGATCAATTGGTAAAGCTGCACTTCGCACAACTCGCTACAACTAGCCCATGGAAGTCACTCCTCCCAAGGTTGTAAATGGGCGCCTAACTGTGCAATACTATCGGACTTGCGGTCTCCCGCCGCGACATGGCCCCAATAAATGTCACCTCAAATTAATCACTTCCCCCTAAACTTACACCCCCATAATGTAAAATCCCCATCATTCCAACTTCTGACATCAGCCACCAAAATTATCTTTGAAGGACAACAGCTACCATTAATTGCGGCTCGCATCCTCTGAATGAGGGGGTCCCTAGCACGACTCTTACGGACAAGGGGTCGCCTTGTTCTTCAAAAGCTCAAGTGTTTTTGGATGTTTTGTTTAGACAGGAGTGTATATACAATCGGAATGCTGAAGGCGATCTTAACTGGTTTGAATGCGATGTATGTCCTTCTTATTTCGAGTCTGAATGGATTTCAATGAAAATTCAATTGATTTTTTAATCTGATTCTACTTAGAATTCGATTAGCTAGTCAGGACTTAAAAGATATAATGAAGATTGTGAATTGATTCCAAAGGGATTTTGAGAAGATCTTAATTGCTTTACCTTGGTGTCAACCGAATTGCATGACGATTCCAATAAGATTGATTCGCTTAATACGATTTGGTCGACTTTGTTGTCGATTTCAACGAGATTTCAGTATGATCCTTATCTGATCCTCTTGTACACCCCCCTAATGTTCGGGTCGTATGAAAACTACCCTGCCCCCACCATTAAATACGGATTGGGGCATGTACGTTATAAGCGGGAGAGGCGTCATACAATCTGCATGATTAAATTAAGGGGGCTCCGCACGACATGAAATCACAAATCATCACTGGGTGAGGATGCGGCCACGGGCTCTGAACCAAAGAATCCCTGCAATGCCCATACTCCCATACTGTTCCCTAACCTTACGCCCGATGTTCGAAACTAAATACTGTGTTGACATCCTTCATTCGCTCTCGGGTCCTTCAAGATGCCTTTGTACACGCCCCCTGGCGAAATGGAGACATGAATAACGAAGAGCCCGCTTCCAAACCGACATCCAATGATCCACACAAAATGTGGTTGTTCCAGTCAAAGCAATTGCACAACCTTCACCACCGAACTGCACACACATGAAAAAATTCAGAAACTGAGTGCGACGCCATATGAACCAGAGCCTGGCGTCAATGACAAACATATTGACGTCCCTATCACAAGCCCTGGCTGATCCGCTTCCGATTTGTCACGTCTTTAGCAGCAATTCTAACGATGCACCTCCCGCGCAACCTTTTCACGAGCTAACAATCAACTAGCCGGACACTGCGTATATTGCATGATGGTGCCGACCTAGCTTCATGTGAACGTCATCGAAGTTGTTTGTTGCCTGACCATCTGAGGCAATCCAGCTATAGAAAGTGCACCAGCCTGTGAGCATTTGATCCTGGTGCTTGAGTGCGCCTGCTTCAGCTCCTCGTATGTGTATTCCAGGCAAATGTCGTTCAGGTTCCTGTCCTTAGTTGAAGGCGTTCAGGAATGACGCGGTGTGCAAATCAAAACTGGGAATTCTTCGCCAAATCCTGTCAACAAGCTTACATCACCCCATGGCAATAGTTGGCACAACACCCTTCTGTGCCAAAGCTTTCATGCGCGAACTTCGCCATGCATCCCTGTAATCTGGTCTAACTGGGCTCGCCACGCCGTAGTTGCTCAAGTCTCCCACCCTGCCAGGCGCAGCGGCATCTAAAGAGCAAGCAGCTGACCACTACGGCAACGCAAGACGTAGAATCAAGGCCAACCTTGTGGTCATGCAAAGCATACACATGCTCTGTGTACAGAACTTCATGTCTGCCGGCTGTGGTAAAAGCGACGGGCCTCACGGAACATGCGACCTTGAACTGAACGTGCGTTAGAATGCTTTAGAACATTCCGGAACTGCATTTCCCCGTTGCTGTTGGCAAGTTTGATGCTCCGGATCGCTTATGTTTTCTGAGTTCCATGCCCGCTGCAATGCTGGTGGATATTTCACAGGCGGCGCGAAAGGCTTCACAAGCTGCATCCACAAAGGGGTGCCCTGCTTCTGCAAGGCCTATTTAAAGGTTTGCCTTCCGCGTCACATACGCTACGATGTGGGCTGGAACTTGTCGCGTAAGGTAAATTGTCACCAATCAGGATGCAATAGAATGGAACATGTGGATCACTTGTGAGCGTGCGTCCATCCAAGTTCCAGCATGCCGAAATGCCACAACGCATGTGTAAACATATTTTTTACCGTCTGCCGGCAACCATGTGTGCTGTTGTGTTCCTCCTGCCATTACCACACATACCATGCCAGCTAGAATTG